GCCCTCCCCCCTCTCGCATGTGCCTGGATAAAGGTCAGTATTTCACTTGTCAGTATTTTTTTAACTAGAATTATTGTGACTGTGTGCACTGAACTTGTGAACTCGTTGCCTTTGAAATGAGACTGAGACCAGGTCTGCGACCACTAGCAGTCAGTTGCCATCTTCCAAGCAACTTTTTTGTGTTAACACGGCAGTAAAATTGCAATAAGACAGGAGACATGTTCATTTTGTGTGTGTGTGCTCAGTTTGGCAGTTACTCCTGTAACTTCTGTAATCTGGTTGTGATGGCGAATAACTGTGAAGAATCAGCTGTCCACATCACAATAAGTAGTTGTATTCAGAGTCCAGCCAAAAGCGCAAAGATCTGAAGCAAAACTTCCTCCACAAATAGTGATGTAGTTCCTGCAGGACAGCAGTTTACCTGCAATATGTTGCGGGCCACCTTGCATTTATACAGAAATGTATCCAGAGTAAAAGCAACAAGTGGAAATGCCCGTGATCATATTTGTAGTCTTCATCCTTAGTTCACGAATGACTGAGCAGCACCCTCTTGTGGAGAGTTTGTACCTTTTCAGTTTGGTGGCACAGAACGGACGTGACTGAGGTCCTAATAATGAGATCCTGTCTCATGTCTCATAAACAGGAGGGACATAAAATTAGAAATGTGGTCATTGCAGTGGGTTGCAGTGCTACACCTGTACAAACTGCCGCTTCAATAATAAACACGACTGAATTTGAGCTTTTATTTCCCTGGAGTGCTGGATTTGTCTTCTTTCTTCCTTCAGATACTTTCAGTCCTCCAGCATTTGTCCAGAACGTGAAGACGCCTCAGAACCTCAGACGGAGGAGCAGCGACACTACTCCACCAGCTCCACCTCCTTTCCCCAAGGACATTGCCAAACAGAAAAAAGAGAAGGAAATCTTTCTTTAACCCTAAACTTCAGACCATCGGGCAAGTCTGGAATTATAGACGGAGCGGTGAGAAGACTCCAGGATGAGTGTGTGTGTGTGTGTGTGTGTAAAGAAATAATTGTAAACAAAGCAGATGTTTGATGAATGTATACACCGTCCTGTTGAAAGAGTGAAGACGTTTGGCCACGTTTGTATATTTGAGAAAGATCTTATTTTGTATTTTTATGGCCGAAAAAAAGTGTTCTTTTTTTTTAAATTTTTTTTTTATCATTTTTGTTTTAAAGTACGATCTATAGCCATGTAACACTCGTGTCTTAAGCTCTTGCTTTTATATAGTCAACGATGGTGTGTGAGTAAGTGAGCAGTATATCTGACAGATTTACCTATTTAAAACTGAACTGTAAAGCATTTTATTTTACTTTTGTTTGAATCAGATATCAATGATTTTAATTTTTTTTTCTTTTTTTAACCTGCTGAGCATGTGTACAAATTAAAAATGTGTGTGGAAGTAGTGTGAGCGCATCGTTAAATGAACATGAACAAAGGCTCAGCAGGTTGCATCCACAACACTTACAACTCTGTTAAAATAATGTTCTGGGGATGTGAAATATTTAACCTCATGTGCCTAATTTTCTCTGGTAGAAACACTCTCGCTCCTCTTTGTTTCATGTAAAATATTTGACATGTCGTGGAATAAAAGCAGGCTGATTTTACAGTTGTGTAAATTTTTTGTTGTTGTTGTTTGTTTAATGACCTTTGCTGAGGGTTAAACCTCTGAAAATAAAACTAGATGTGAAAATCATTTTAGGCAGGTGGAAGTTATAATTACTTCACTTTTTACTTGGGTAAAGAGTACAAAGAACACAAACACTCATCACACAATCCACTACGAGCAAGCAATGGGTGATGGTGGGGAGGAAGAACTGCTTTCTAACAGGAAGATACCTAAAAATTGATTATCTTAAAATTCAGTTTTTCTCTTTGGTAATTTTAAGTTAAAATGTGGACTTTTTTCAGCGAGGGAGAAAAGCTAAAACAACCAAGGATCAGTAAAAGTTAATTGAGGATTATTTTGAACAGCAAAGCATGAGTTAGACTCCAAGAATAAAAGTTATCTTTGGGGTGCAAGATGAGGGGATTAAAAACACCAACCTGGCTCCAGAGTTTGAGGGTGTTATTAAAATATATAGCAGCACATACGTCACTAAAGGGCCTTTTGCAAAACCACTAATAGTGTGCTGGTTGATCAGATAAGTGACCCAGGGTAAATGGACACTCTCTCCATCCTCCACTGATGAGGTGACAGAGGCTCTTTGTGCTTGCTGTTCATCTCTGCAGGGACTTCTCACAGCTGGAAGGCCACGAAGAAAAGACTCATTCAGAGTCTGGAAGGAAATGTGACCATAAATCACCCCGAGATCAGCTCCTGGGGCGGGGGTCCAGCTAAGCTGAGAAGGTTCCTGGCTCAAGTCTGCTGGTCCTGGCTTTCTCCTACAGCCCAAAGGCCAATTTAGACCATAACAAAAGCAGAGTCCCACCTGTCCAGCAACACATGGGAGGTGTGGCAGGGCGTACAAGACTTTATAAGCCACAGAGGGTCTGAAAACAGAAAACCTGAGTGCTCACAGAGGAGATAAATTGCTTCTTCGCCCACTTGGAAACACCACAACAGCAGCCCTCATCTGCTTCAGCCCTGCTCCCATCCTCATCCTCACCTCGTTCCTGCACCGCTCCACTCACTTTACGGAATATAATGTCAGACGTGTATTCTTAGCAGTGAACCCCAGGAAGGCTTCCTGGCAAGACGCTAACAGCGTGTGGCCACCAGCTCACCCTCATCTTTACCAGAATATTCAACCTCTCACTAGACTGGGCAGCCATCCCACCCTGTCTAAAATCAGCCACAATCATCCCAGTGCCGAAGAAGTCTCCCGTCACTAGCCTGAACAACTACCACCCTGTGGCCCTCACTCTGGTAATTATGAAATGCTTTGAGGGACTAGCCCTTCAGAACATCAAGGACTACCTCCCCCGAGACCTCGACCCCTACCAGTCTGCATATCATGCGAACAGATCCACAGAAGACAGCATCACCATAGCCCTCCACTCTGAGCTGAGCCACCAGGACTATCGGCAAAGCTGAGTCCGCATGTTCTTTGTGGATTACAGCTCAATTTTCAATACAATCATCCCGGATATCCTCATCACCAAACTGGTCACTCTTGCCCTCCCCCCTCTCGCATGTGCCTGGATAAAGGACTTTCTCACCAACCGGCCCCAGACTGTAAGTCTCGGCTCCCCACAGGGCTGTGCGCTGAGCCCCCTCCTGTATTGTGTCTACACCCACGACTGCAGTTCCACCTACAACAACAACCTCATCAAGTTTGCTGATGACACCACGGTAGTCAGATTCATCTCAAAGGGAGACGAGGCAGCCTACTGAGAGGAAGTCCTGAAATTGGCAGCATAGTGTTCAGAGAACAATCTGGCACTGAACACCAACTTGTGGACTTCAGGAGGCACAGCACTGACTTAGCCCCCCTGTACATCAAAGGGGAGTGTGTGGAGAGGGTCCACACCTTCCGGTTTCTCAGCGTCCTCATCTCCGCTGACATCTCCTGGACAGACAACATCACAGCAGTTGTCAAGAAGGCCAGCAGCGGCTGCACTCCCTGAGGCTGCTGCTGAACTTCTACCGCTCATCCATTGAGAGCCTGTTGACATATTGCATCACAGTATGGTACGAGAGATAAAGTGAGGCTTCAGAGAGAAGTCAAAGCAGCACAGAAGATCATCGGCTGCCCTCTCCCCTCCATGATGGACATTTATTTCTCCCACTGCCTCAGCAGAGCAACAAAAATGATCAAGACAGCACCCACCCTGGTTTTGACCTGTTCAACCACTACAGGTGCATCAGCACAAAGACTGACAGACTCAAAAATAGTTTCTTCCCAAAAGCCATAACCACCCTGAACTCACACATGCACTGACAATACAGTCCCACCCCCAATTCCAAGGCCTTCCCTCTATAAACAGACTACATAACTATCATTACTGTGCAATAGTTTACGTGCAATAACCCTGTAACACTGTAAATATATAACACTAATTATTAATTCCCCCCCATATGTATATTTTATTTTATTTTTTTAATACTGCTCATATGTATATAGTGCAGCAGAACTGAGCAGCTCACGCCCGTTTCTTTTACCACATGTTTGCACTGCGTAGGAGATGCTCTGTATCTCATTGTACATGTGTATAGTGACAAAAGGCATTTTATTCTATTCTATTTTAGAAGCAGTGTGTGGATATAGAGTATAGATCAAGTGTATAGAGTAGATCAGTCTTGAAAAGTGTGATATAAGAAACACAGCAGGCCTAATATTAAATACAATGGTTCTTTATTATACATATGCCTGTTTGGAGGCATTAAAAACCACTGAGTGACACCAAACTATCCTGGCGAATGAATAATGTCGTCCAGAAAACTGTTCAATCACATTCGGACACCGAGGGTGGACTCACTCGCAGCACGCTGCTGTCCAACATGATGCCCTCGGGTCAGACAAACAAAAGCAGAACAAATATGGGACAAGTAGGTCGTTACCATGGTTTCCATATCTTTAAACCCTTATAATTATGCATAAACATACACGTACACACACATAAGCCGACAACAGGCCGTTTCACGAGTTAAAATGCTGTGCAAATGTTTAAATACAAACTAAAAACAACCAGAACCACATACTCTCCAGTTCACACATGAAACTGCAGCACTTTGAGTCCAGCACACGGTTTTCAGAGAGCCTCCCCCCACCCCCCCACTCCAGACGTGGACACGGTAAGGCCAAAAACCCAACTCTTAATATAACACGAGCGCCTCCCGGGGGATGCAGACTGCAGCGCTCAGCAACATTTACAAAGTTCGGGTTATATATCTGGGCTAAAATCAAAATAAAAGCATGCAAACACAAAATGTAACAAAGGCTTGATGAGAAAATAACAAAAGTGCTTTGGTTCAGTCAACAACCAGGTTAGCACCACATTTTAAGGGGTATGAAAGTTTTCAGCTGCTTCATGCTCTGACTCTGGGACACACGCTTCAAAAAGGGCTTTTTAAGGGGATTTAAGTCTCAGTGCGTTTCAAATTAAGTGCTTGAAAACTGATGGGCTTGCAGAGCTGCTGCCATCGCTTTCTCGTGTTATGACCCAAGTCATGATGCTGTGTGTTGTTTGTGCTGATGTAAGTTCCAGGTGGAGGCGGATAATTGGCTAAGCATGGAATGAGGCTGGCTATATAGTGGGACCTATCAAGACCCGCTGCCCCGCCCACTTTCTATTTCCAAACAAGCTGTGCATTTAGCCATGTGTCTTGTGTTTAGTGGTGAGCTGTGTGACCAAGTTACTGTGATGAGAAGAGCTTGGTTGTCTTGTATCGATTGTAAATTGTGTAAAAAGACTTTGCCTTGGTGATCTGGTTGCTGTAGGGGTTTTCTTTTAAAACCTTTTTCTCCTGTTTAGCTTAGTGATACAGGTAAGAGGCCTGTATTTTCTTTTGGGTTTCTTGTCATAGGTAAATCAGTTCTGTTTCATTTCTAGAGTGTTTTGTTTGTTGTTTTGGCCATTCCCTCCCTGATGCTTGCTATCTTTGGAGATTAATAAAATATCTGGTTGTTGTGAAACCGCAATCCTGTGGTAGCGTTGGTCTTTCCTTGTGAGCAGGCAGCGTGGGCATTACGTTTCCTTTTTTTTTGTTTTTTTTTTGTGTTGCGCTCCGGTTTCCCCTTGGCTGGGTTGTAGCCAGGACCTTTAAAGCCCGGTCACACCAGAAAGACGAACAGCTAAATATTTGGGTCCGAGGCTTGGTGACTGTGGCAACAAACTGGATCAGAGTATCTTTCCGGACCTCTCTGTCATCAGAGAAGTTTTAGCACTTTATTCTGAAGACTGAGCAAAATTTTATAATCGTTCGCTAACAGGAGCACCTTGAGGTCAAACACATCTGAGATTTTTATTAGATGCAACTGTGCTATCAATTTGACAATTCTGCTTCGCTTCACTCTCAAGTTATTGTGTTCACAAAGATATGTTTCCACACTGCCTGCCCGGCGGGGTGACACCAATACCCTATCAAAAAATGGCTCCATTTCCTGAACAGTTGATGCTAACATTTTGTCAAATCCCTTGAATTAAATTTGAAAGTCTGCTCTTCACTCGCATAGTAATTGTTCGATTTAGGATCCACTGTGGTGCACAGAGGCAAAAACTACAAAATAAATGTGCCTTTCTCCAACAAATTATGAACCTGGCACTACCTTTAACTGCTAGATAAAAAAAACAACTGATTGCTATTTAGAATTTTTTCTTTTGTCCAAAAGCAGAAAACAATGTTCGAGATGCCTTATTTTACAAGTTTTGTTTGTGTGATCAACATTTCAGAATCCAATTATACTCTGTTTCTTACACATATATGAGAAGCTGGAGCAAGAATGAATATTTAAATCTTTAATTGTCTGTTTGCCACCTAATATTTTACCATTTCTCTTTTTTCGCTCCATCAGGTTAGTTGGATCCTGGAGTTATTTGTATGAGACTGATCAGGCACTAAATACATTTTTTGATTGCTTAAAGTTCATTAAAGTTGGTTTTCAGGGGTGCAAAACATGCAGCTCACGGCTCATTCGGCTAATTAATAATTAACTAATTAATTCATTACCACTATTCCTTTAATAGCGATGCCAGTATTTCCACACAGCAACTACTACTATTGCTTATTTTTTTTCTGCTCTAGACATGCCGTTTGAATCGTGAAGAACTAAAACCTCCACATGTGAAGTTTTTTCCCCCTTTCTCTGATCTGTTACACGTCAGGGTGCTCATTATAAATGGACGATTTATTAAATAATTAATAGGTCAAAAATATTTTTTTACTCAGGTTTAGATCTCAGCTTTTAAAAGGTCTTTTTTCTCCATAAACCACTTCTTAAATGTAAAGAAAACCAAAAATCAGGAAGGGTATTTTTTTTAATCTGCCATTTAGCTCTGGTGTTACTGGTCAAGTTATACATTGCACTGTTATTTGCTGGCGTGACGGGGTCTTTAGGTTGGCACAGAGCTGAGCAGAGTGGAGATATTTATTGTTTTCTCAATGGAGTAGTGTAGATTGACTTTTCACTCCCCTTTCGGGTGGTGCAGATTGTATGTTAGTAGGATGGGACTGCTTCTGTTTGTCTGTGCCCGGCTGAGCCCGACATTCAGAAAACACAGATTCGTACTTGGCACTGAGTGCAAACAAGCATCACTATGTGAAATGTCCACTGACTCGGACACACTGTAAAAAGAAAATGAACAAAGTAAACACGGTGAAATGGAAAAGTGCCGTACTAGACGTTATTTCAGTTGGGTTTTTTTTCCTCTTCATTGCTCTCCACTGGGGGAGTTTTCTGAGGCGGGTCCTGGGGGGAGTCTTCACTCTGACTGGCTTGCTCCTCTGCAGTTGGTGACTCTGGTTTAGCTGAGGGCTCCTTGGTCGGCGGCGCGGCGGTTTGTGTGCAGTTGATCGGTGCGAGCACTATGGCAGGCTGCAAGGGACAGAAAACAAAAGCCTGCATGAGTGAAGGGCGCCAGGCTGAACACAAAATTTAATGACAGGAGCTACAGGAGAGCAGAAGGCAAACAGAACCAAACGCTACACAGGCACAAATTTAACCCCAGCTAAAGTAGCTTTGTGCCCTCAGAGGTATTTGCAGGAATAAAAACGTCCCACTGAGGTTTTTAGCCCCATCAAGCTACACAGAAATAATCTACATCAACATCAGCCCCACTAATGGAGTCAGAGTTTCCCATGTGATCACTACTTTATCATCAATGCAAAAATGAAGGAAGGTTAAGAGAGCAGAGGGAGGTACTACGAAGCAAGTTCATAAAGCCAGGCTTACTTTGTGTTAGCTGGCTCAACAACACCTAAAACCCCAGTCAGAGGTAACAGGTATCTCAACAGTGGTTTTCAGCTTCCTGTGTTAGCTCAGGTTTTCTGCTTCAGGCTCTGAGCATGCTTTGATTTAAATAAAATACAAAAACAATTGTTTTCTGCATTAGAAAATAAATGCTAACATATTCCTGCCTCTCTTTCGGAGGTTATAGTGAAACACAGCTCTACCATGTATGTAATCACTTATGTATATACAATTTTTTTTTTTTATTCCTGTCCTAATTTTATTCTTTTTATACAGATGCTGTAACAATAATTTCCCTTGTGGGAACATGAATGTATATATCTGCACATGGCATGTATAAAACCTATTGCTCCAGCAGAGAATCTGAATCTATCTAGAATCAGTGAAAACGTGGCACTTCCAGACAGTTTTAAATAGCTTCAGTTACCATGGTGATCAAGAAAGCCACCCCTGGGACACTGAAAACTCTGACTTAAGGCTCACTAAGCCATGAATTTCACTTCGTAGTACGCCCGTCGGGGTATTTGATGGTAGAATGAAGCCCGGTTTGAATACCTGCAGTGACATTCTGAGCCCTCAGCAGCAGACTAGAGCACACCCACAGTAAAATAAAGGGTGAGGAGTAGCGATGGAGGGGGACAGTGAAAACAGAAAGAAGCAGTTGGAATGGATGGAATTATTTAAAGGGGTTACTCAACTTGAAATTCTACTTTAGTCTGCATGTTATTTAAACCTAGATTTTTTTCTCCTTTTTTTTTTTTTTAAAGTCTTTTTGTTCTTCCGTAGTAGGCAGTCATATCAAACTGGTATTCACCACAAATCCACTTCCAGTCCAGAACTGGGGCAACTCCCTGCGCCACAGCGCAAGACTGAGGCTGGTGAGCAGAGTGCAAGGCACCAGGTAGAGTAACGCCGGCTGACCCATCTGCATCACGGCCAGCGCCACGAAGGTGATCAGCAGGCCGATGCCGTAAGCTGACGGGAGAGAGACAAAGACAGATGTCACTTTAGCTCCTGCAGGTGTTCTGCAAGCTGGTCCGCTGCTATATTCTTATTTACAGGTCGTCCTTGGCCTGCTTCTACCTTACTCACTGAGCTACAACCATCAGAAAAGTTACTGAAGTCTTTTGTTCCCAGACTTGTTCCTTGCACCTGTTCCTAAAGCCTGTACCAGATCTGGCAGGAAAATGAAATCATCTCTTTTTTGCTCTAAAACTGAAGTCCTCAGGAGAGGAAGTGCTGATGTTTTTTTACTGGCTAGTCTTAACAATCTGTTTATTACATTACAAGCACCACGGTCATTTTTCTGGGGGTAAAACGATGAGTTGAACAACAGAGCAGAACCTCCCCTTATCAATGTCATTCCCACCTGAATGAGGCTCATCATAACATCAGCATTTCACAGAGTACAGCCCACCTCCATCCCCTCCTCCAGCCCACGTACGTACCGATTGTACAGGCCATGAAGTAGATCCTGTAGGATTGTGTTAAAATGTCAAATCTGTGACAGTACACAACCAGCAGACCTGAGAAAAGAAAACCAAAGAGGCATTCAGAACAAAGGGAAAGACTAACAGCAGTGTTTCACAAAGCTTTCTTAGCAGACTTCCATTTTTAGTATTTTTTTTAATTCTTTGATGAATTTGATGAAGCATGTGAACTGTGTCATCATAAAACATTTGATTTGCATACCTGGTACTAAGATATCTCCGAAGCCAAGCAGGGAGAAGGGGCGGTCACAAAGAGCCAGGGGGGAGGAGTTTAACCGTGGCACTTTAAGCACCATGGGAAGCTGGAGAAAACACAAAAATTAACATTACCATCAACTACTGAGCTGAGAGGGGTGTTTGGAGGACTTAACCGAGGTGTACCACGTAGGCTCACCTTTTCATGTGTGGAGGAGTCAGAGGGACCAGCTGCTACCTCCACCATTATACTTTGCCCACTCTGGAGAAAAGGTAAGGAGTAAAAACACAAAAACAAAGAACACAGCAGACAACAACTAAACTAAAGAGACGTGTGTGACAACCTGACATACCTTTGTGAAGGAAGGTGTAATAAATACGAAGAAAACATCATAGACGAACAGGACGGTCATTAGTAAAGTGCAAGCCTGCATCAGGGAGCAAAAGCAAAGTTTCAGACAAAACTTTTATTAAAACAATCAAACACAGTTAAAAACCTTTCAAAAAATTGTGTTGTGGTTCAGATCTGTCACCTTAAATGTGGGCAGCCTGACTGTTTTGAGCATGTAGAGACAGAAGGCGATCCCCAGGGCGTCCTGTAACACCCACGCCCACCTGGAAGACACGTAACACATTAGTCAGCCAGCACCATCACCATATCATGTACCTTAAAGGCGTCATTACACACAGACTTTACGCCACCCGACACACACACCCACAATAATTCTGCCCTCAAACCAAAATTCTTGGGTGCTGGAAGAAAGTGTGCAGCACAGCCTGTAGGAAACCAACAGCTTCAGCTCTCTTGATACTTCAGCAAAAGCATCTTTCCAAGTGAAAGTGAAAATTTTCCCTCCAAATATAGCAACTACGGGGTCACTCTGAATTTTAAACCAGAAGATATGGACTTCTGGAGAAGCCCACAATAATAATTCCTTTCTCAAAAAGCTGAAATAGCCCGAGTGGTGACACTTCTGGATTATGTGATAAGGTATCTACTATTAGGGCTGGGCCATATCATACCGTTCACTGTAATACCGGTATAATGTTAGGAAATGATAAGAAAATGAAATATGGCAATAGAATATGGGTAAAACACGCATGTGCAGTGCCTTTGTTTTCATACACACATGGTGGAAAAAGCATGGTGGCGATAGAGAATGAGAAGGGCAAAAGCGGATCGCTGAATAAAACTGATGAAGCAGAATTGGTTTGTAAAAATGCTGCAACTTCAGTGGTGTGGAACTGGTTTGGCTTTTGTGCCCTCAGATACACACCAAAGCACATTTTTTGGTAGAGCATGCAAGCGGGCCGTCGTTATTACCGAACCGATTTAATGTTTTAGAATTTATTCTTCTTCCTGCTCCTTTTCATGCATGGAAACAGTTTTACTTTAATTGAAAGGAAGGTTGTGTATGGGAAATGAATTACGGCTGTACCATGTGTGAAACAAAAAAATAAAATAAAAAAAATAAAATAAAATGTGGTACACAGCGCTCAAAAATCTGTCAAAAAAATGTTTTAGTACGACTTTGCTAAGCTACGAAGCCGCGCCGCTTGATGGATTGTCGGAGCATTATGGTTAGCGTAGTCGAGAGCCTCGCAGAGTGATACGTACTGTGCTTCAACATAATATTACCGCACTGAGTGTGTCTAACCTCTTTTTAAGTTTTGTGGATATTATACATGGTTATGCTGAGGACATGTCAGCTAATTTCCACTGGAAATGCCTTTTGGTTAAACTGTCAGCAAGGAATTTGCATTTGCACTGTTAAATTTTTATATAACTTTAATGCACATAAAAAACAGCTGCTTGTTTAAGTGAAATGGTAAATGGCCTGTATTTGTATAGCGCTTTACTAGTCCCTAAGGACCCCAAAGCGCTTCACACATCCAGTCATCCACCCATTCACACACACATTCACACACTGGTGATGGCAAGCTACATTGTAGCCACAGCCACCTTGGCTATTTCCCACCGCTGCACATGTCAACCAATAGTATTCCTTACTCCCATTCACCTCAAGTTAAACTTCGTACCTGACCTAATTTTTTGCCTCTCATGATTATTCCCCCATTAATCGCTACAAGCTGGTGAATTTGACCTTTTCTTCTATGACTGTGAAGCCCTGCAGTGCCTTTGTCTGTAGTGGAATGAATTCAATTGTTTTTTAAATTTTGTGTTGTGCACTCACTGGTCTTCGTTGCGAAACACCATCCAGATGATGCTGACACCAATGCAGAGGACCGACAGCAGCAGCATGCGGATCTGCGGCCGCTTGTTCAGGTACGGCAGGTTGTTCTCTGGGATCCTTTTTTTCCAAAACATAGGTCAGATGTCAGCTACTACACCACAGCCCTTTCTCTCAGAGAAATACAGTCACTGTTAAGCATGAAATGCAACTAAAAAGTGTTTTTATTAGCATTAATCTGCAGATAATCATGTTAACCATGTATCATTTGGTCTAAAAACACAAGAAAAAAGGGTGTACAGAAGAAACAGGAAACAACTGCTCAATCCACATTGCTGAAGAAAAAAAAATGTTCCTAAACCGTTTACTCATCATGCTGTAAGTATAATGAGTATTTAAGTATTTATAGGAGCTATTCTGTTTCCAGGGTGGAGTGATTGTACAGCAGACATCTTTATTGAATTTAATAAATAAGAACTGGGCGAACAAGTTTGAATTTATTTTAGATTTGAGAAGCTCAATCATATATACACCCTGACTAGTATTTGGTTGAATGTAAATCATCAAGTTGCACCTCGACCAGACATAGAAAACATACATGTATGGAGAGAAAAAAACCAAACAAATGTCATGCTGTTTAAAGCATCATCGCACCTGCTAATATGACCCGAAGACTCACCTGCACTTGCAGAAAGGAAGTCTCCTGACAAACGGCCACAGGCAGCTGTACAGGCCAACAGAGGAGGCCAAACAGAAGATCCTGATGACCCAAATGGCTAAACGGTGAAGAAACAGCAGACAGAAGCTGAGTAGATATTATCGTGTGAGGAAACCCGCTTCTTTGGCATCCCCCCTCCTTAAACGCCTGAATAGTGGTATTGCTTTCCCTTTTGTACACTATTGCCATCGGCAGCTTTCAGCAGCTTTTTAATCTGTTTAAAGGGGAAATGTTATCTCAGCCATTGAGCTCTTTATCAGTGCAGCCATTCTTTACACTCAGCAGGGTTTGACTCTGCTGCAGCTTAATGGTGGACACCAGGCAGCTCTGCGAGAGGAAATGATCTCTGAAGAATCTCAGTTTACCCTGGAGCTAAATGGAGAGGGGATTATTAATTTAATAAGATTAGTTTAGAAGCTTGGACCTTTTAACCAGAAATCCTGTTTTATTCATTTTGTGTATTTTCTTGTTGCACCTGTGTGTGATGTGCATTTTTTTTTTTTAATTTCTTCACCCTTCTTTTTTTTATTCACAACCTATTCTACTGTATTGCATTTTAATCTTTACTTATTTTGCTCATTTAATTGATTTTATTTAATTGAGCTCCTTTCTATTATTTGGTTTTTACCTTAAGTAAAACACTTAAATACTTGCTTTGTCGTATTGTCTTTTTATTTTGTTAGCAAAATATTTATTCTACTTATTTAAGCTAGTTTTTTTAAGGAGGAAAGAGGCAGCAATGTTAAAGGCTTAAGACACTGATGGTGAGCCTTCTATCATCATGGACAAAGTGAGACTGCACAACAACAGGATTAACAAGCCAGCGGACTTTATGAGAACTCACTGGGGAGTTCCACCTCAGCAAGAAATCTACATTTATGCCTGTTCAGTGCCAGTGATTCCTCCTGTGCATTTTTGTCTAATTTTTCTGGGGATTCTGGGTAATGGAGTCTAATAGACTAAGTTTCATCATCCGAGCGACATACAATGTGCTACCTTCCCCAATAAATCTGCAGCAGTGGTTTGGAAAGGACCCAGCGTACCCCCTGTGTACAGTCCCAGCCACACTCAAGCACATCTTGGTTGGTTGTAGGACTAGCCTTACTCAGGGCAGATACACATGGAGACACAACCAGGTCCTCAGGTGTCTGGCTGAGAAAGTTGAGCACAAAAGGAAATTCATCAACGCTCAACCCTTCACAAAGCAAGAGGAACGTCAGTCAGTCAGGGTAAAACATAACATTAGAAGTTTTGCTGGTTGACTGCTACAGCTGTCTCAGGGCCTCCTGGGGACTGTGCAGTTAACCTCATGGTAGTAAAACTAAAAAGAATGAAAAATGTTCCGCTCTTCTTCTCTTTTCTGGGAGGCAGTGGGGAGGTAGAGTGGGCGCTGTCCTCCCTGCTCTCTCCTATCTTATCTTACTTACTTGTCTTGCTCCTCTCTATCACTTTTTCTGTCCCTTTGAAGAAAAGAAGCTCCATAAATGTTAAAGAAGTACGTATTTCTCAGCTGCAGTGAATAGATAGAATAAACTGTAGAAAACTAAACAGGAGAAAGAAGAAAACAATTTTAACATAAACCATTGACACACTCCAGGGCCTGATCAACCCTGGCAGGGCCTCCTTGGATGAGGGTGTCTAGTGATAATGGCCGAAACACCCGATGAATTCAAGGTCCACCACTGACGACGTGTCTAAATTTTAATAATTTAGATGAGATCTCTAATCCCTAAACCTAACTAAGAAAAAATGGCAGATTAGCTTGTGTAAAAGAACAAAAGTTGAGGCACACAACGATGTGTGCCGCTGGTAAAGTTTCTGGGCTGCTTTTCCTCATAACACCCATCCCCGAGATTTTCTCCATTAAAAGCAATGCATTGTCAGGAATTGTGACATCTAGTACTTTACTGAATCAACTTGGCTTTTAAATTTATCAGCAAGAGAGCAACAATATAGGAAATAATAACTGTTCTTAATATAAGGACCTTCAAATATCAGTAAATTCCTGGAGGGAGATAGCTGAAAGTATCAGAAGTGAGATTCAGAAACGTGTAAATATGTTTATAAAAATATGTTTTCGGAGGGGGAAAAGTGCCAGCATTTTACTTGTTTCTATCTGCTGGCTCTGCATAAAAAACACTGAGACACAACGAACCTCAGCTGCCGAAAACTATGCTGCACAAACATGTAAATGAGCTGTTATCAAGGATGTACTCAGGATGGGCCTGAGTGTGTTTAACCACTGAAGTCCAGCTTGTTTGACTAACATAATTAACGTGCTGTGCCCGGGCGCGGTTCAGTTAGACTCGGTACAGTATGCATGTATCGCATTCCCCTGCACTTCCCTCTTTAAAAATAACTCTGAAAGGAAAGCGTTGCACCGCTTTCATAATCAAGTCCCAAAATCCACAAACTCATAAAACTCATTGGGCTCTGCAACAGTGTTTTAGTAAATCAGAGAGTGACTGTGAGAGAGGAGCTGCTGCCAAGATAAAAGTAAGCATCCTCTGGCACAGTGTGAGCACTGGGCCAGAGGATGCTTACTTTTATCTTGGAGGACAAGTGTCCCTAATCTGAGTAAGCTACTGCATACTGTAGATAAAAAGAATATAAACTTGCCAAGTGGTGAGGAGAAATTTGACGTTTAAATTGGTTAAAAATTTTGACAATGAATGCCTAGTAAGTCCAGGAATTATCCATACAGGTGTTTCAGTCAAGAAAAACGAGGAAACCTATAAGATCCAGTTAAAAGCTGCAGGCTTGAACTAAATCAGCTGCTCTGGGACCATTTTTCTGATTCTGACAGACTGTAAAAGTAAACACATCCTAAATTATCACTTCATTTGATTCTAAACTACAAACGCTTATTGCAAAAGCACCGTTCTGTGTTTTTTTTGCACTTCTGGAGGGTTTTTTTTCAAATATGTTTTGCTCTATGGTTTTTGTGCACATAGCAAATGCTGGGTTTTTTTTAGGTTTTGTCACATCTTTTGCACAACCTCAATCCAGAGAAAATCCCTTCTGAGTGACGCCAAGCCACAGTGAGTAAGGACAAATTAAAAGCTTTGAGAGGCTAACCGCCCCCAACACACTAATGAATACTGGGCAGAAGGAACTGAAACCACCATCATTTACTGGTCCCATAAACATGCTTCTGATCTAACGGATTTACTTATCTTTTAAATGTTTTCTTCAGCACGACTAGTATAGCAGCGGTTATATTCTGTGTACGCTTCGTGTGTATCTGCATCGTACCCAGGTGGTCGTAGAAAAAGTAGAGTAGCACCAGCATGTTGCAGCACATGACGACGAACACACAAATCATGATCGGGGTTACGTCTACGGTCTCCTCCTCTTGCTTCTCGGCACTGTCGTCCCGCTTGTGCTTCATGTACCGTCTGCAGGAGGACAAGCAACAGTGAGTAACTCTAAAGACAAAGAGTATATATGCACACATGTTTGCTCTGGGGTTTTGTCTTTCACATTGCAGATTATGGTCCAGTGTTTGGTGATTTACCAAAACACACGGGATAACCATATTGCCATTAAAAGTCTATATTTATGGTCATTTGGTCAGCTGGCTGGCGTTCACTTCCATCCTGAGTTGAAAACACGCACTCATGATTCCAGATGTTTTTTTCTCTGTGGTGCTGTGCGTCAGCGACCCCATCTCACTCTGCCCTCCTTCACCTCAGAAAACTCCAAAAAAATGGACTCAGATTGGGTTAAGCCAATGAGTCACCCATACTCAAATAAACAGTGCTGCCCTTTACTGGAGTCGCAGCGGTAAGATGCAGATTGCTTGGTTTGAAAAGAAGAGAAGCACTCATAGTCACCCAAAAGGAAAGTCTTTTGCAATCACGCACTTGTATTTTGTTGCCAGGAAAACTCTGACCAATGTTCTCTGGAGCCTCTCCTGATGAAATATGTCTAATGTAAATTTAGCAGCTGTGACTAAATGCATTGTTTGCACTCGCTGAAGGAATTTCTTTGATACCCAATACTTGCATCATTGTATTTTTGTATCACTTAATGCAGTTTTGTTCAACCCAGACTGAAATCACTTTTTAACTTTAATTTTTTCAAAACGTCTGAAGACTCTGGCTGTCATACTGCAGTACAGCTGAAACTCTGACACTATGGGATTTTCCACTGAATCACTTCTACAGTAGCACTTTCACAGGACCAGTAAACTTACTTCTTGCTGTCTCTGCTGCCGGCCCAGTAGCCTCCAATAGCCACCGTTCCTACTGCCATCAAGAAGATGATCACCATGTTATAGTCTAACACTGGCTCATTGGGTGCGTACATGGCAACCAGCTGTCCTTTACCAAAGGTCTGCAGAAGTAAGAAACAGCATTAGATTTGCCAGATGTCAAACTTCAAAACTAAATAAAACATGCCAAAATAAGGAAGTGCTACTTAATTTATATTAAATAAACCCTCATTTAGCCTACTTCAAAGTAGATTAACTCTGATGTTGTGACTAATAAGCCTAATTCAGTGCATAACACTGGACTGAAGTCATGAATCGCAACAAGAGTCTCTGTCATGGTGCTCAGTTTTAGATACACTTTTCCACTTAGATACATTTTCCACTCCACTCAAAAAACAAATCTGTCTGAAAAAGAGCATTTAACCAGTTGCTTCCAGCTGGATAGACGTGCCATGTGCCGTTTATCGTGTATCAAAGCTTAAACCATCTCTAAGTAGTTCCCTGAACATGTCAATCAGTTCACTGTACTCAAATGGACTCTGCAGTCACCAGATCTCAATCCAGCACAGCACCTTTAGGATGTGGTACAATGAGAGATTCTCATCGTGGACATGGAGTTAACAAATCTGCAGGAACTGTGTGACACCATCATGTCAATAGGGAGCAAAATCTCCTCCAGCACTTTCTTGAATCTGTACCATGAAGAATTACAGATGAAAGGTAGTTTACCCTGATACAAACAAGGTACACATATTAAAGCATCCAGTGACACAAAATTAGAAAACGGATAATAAGGCTAGGTGTAGAGCTTCTAAAGTGAGAAGAGAAATATCGGTTGGTAGCTGACTTCTCACCTTGCTTATATCCAACATATCAGAGTAGCTGAGCAGTGCCACAGGAATGTCAATCTCTTCATACTGAGTCTTGTTTCCTGCTGGTGGTGTCTGTAGGGAAAAAACAAAAACAAAGCACATTTGTCAGGGACCAAAAAACCCTGTTTAATTCTGACACAGAATAGCCGTGAACAGCTGTCTCACCAGTCTGTCCTTGCTGACGATGAGCAGGCCCTTGGCACCATTAATTTGGGCCAGGCGAACTTTTTCATAGAAAGTGCAGTTCCCCCTCATCACCATGGGGATGCGGTTCGGGAAGCCTCCCTCTGGGACCTCAGAGGGTGAGCACAGGACCGATGTTGTCAAGTCATGGATCTGGAGACGTGACTTTGAAACAAAAGGTTTGGAAATACTCTCAGAGGTTTCAAAATACAGTAATTAGAGATGTTGTTTGTTTTAATTAATTACTCATTATGTACTGTTTATTATTCTTTAATGGAACAAAGAAGCTTCCTCATTTAGTGTAAAAAGGGGCAGCCTTGTCATAAAAATCCATGTACTTCTAAAAGACTAGTTTTTGTTTCTCATTATACACCTATATCCAAAAATAAAACCCTCGTGTGAGTATGATCTAAAAACTGTAATTCTTGTATTTATTTCTTGTTGCGTGTATTACTACAGCCTAATATATTCTGATATTCATAAAAGCTCTCCAGTGATTGCGCTTGGTTCAGAAAATAGCAGCTTGACTCGTAACAGGCAATAAAAGTAGAGATTATATTTCAGCATCCTGTCTTCCTAAGAAAAGATGTTGTACACTGAGGCTTAGCCTCATTGCACCGTGTGGCCTTGAAGCAATTTGAATTTTTACAATTTTTGGTTAACCCCCTTTGTTAGTGACTTACTGCCTTATTGAGATCCTGAGGTAAATGTGCCCACTGGGAGTTGAAGAATATGCAGTAATCCTTTCCTTTGCTCTTGCCCTTGTCACTGAAATGGGCCATACCATACTCTCCCACCACCTGTCAACATAAAAACAATGGCTGGATCATCTCACATGTCCAAGAAAAAGCAAATTTTTATACCACAGAGTTGAGCTTTAATTCTAGCAGCCCTATGAATGTTGATGTTTCGCTGTCTGCATCAATTTGAGACGGTATAAGCCTATAAGCCTTTTTGAAGCTATGATTAAACTATTCGTACCCCTTTTAGTTGGTTTTTGTATACCCTTCTTCATATAAACGGTGCACACAATATGATAAACCCTTGTATGTATAATAAAGCTCAGCAGCACTACAAACTACAGCCTTCAGTGTATAAAAAGGCTCAGTAACAGCTCCTACAATCAGGGTTTCTGCAATGTACTTGAAGTTAGATTTAAGGCTTTTAAACACATTTCTCAAATACCTCTTCTTTCTTTCTCTTTCCACATGACAATCTTTAGCTAGATTAATAGTTTTTTCACTGAACACAAAACAGATAAACCTGTTCAAATTTTAGTTTGGCTCACTCAGTTATATTGTTTCTGTTAGTGACTGTGAAACTCTAATTTCAGACGCGTTCCATATTTTACAGCACTACCGCAGTCTAAGTTGTCAGTGGTTAACATCAGATTCACTGTCGTAATCACTGTGAAGATAAACCCAGTGTCGGTTTCAGGTGAGGTGAATCGGCAATAATCCTCTTTCATTAATGCTGCATCAAAAGGTGAGTAATGTGTGGGTTTCCAGGGCCCAGAAATCTCCGCAAGCTAACAGACATAGCATCTATGCTAACGTTCCCGGAAAACCGCAGGGAAATAAAAACCCAAATCTTTGTTTGTTAACCGCAGGCTGCTACCCGACAAAGACGCACTGAGGGACAGTTTTCGAAGAAACAGACGCGGTCTCTCTCACCTTCTGGATGAGAAAAGCGACCCAAATCAGTGTTTCGGGGACCCTCATGGTGTCTAGCTTGTTGTTGTCTCCCCCATCGACCAACCAACCAACCAAACGCTTGGCTCGCCTCGAACTCCCTGCACGAGAGCCCCCAACGCCGGCTCTAACAGGCCGCGCCCATTTCGTTCGGCTAGGCTTTTTAATTGGATGATATTGTCATGTGCCACTTAACGCGTTGCTGTTTGGATAAAAACAGACTGCCAAAAAACGATAGAAATAGTAGCGGTCACTGACAGCACGAAAAGCCTAACATGCTTTACAGCTAAACATAATTTTTAAAAAACCCCAACAACAAATAAAAGATGAGTTTTAGAGTTTGGTTAAAAGTTTTTCAATTCATTAGCATGAATACATAAAAATAAATAAATAAAAGGCAACAATTTTTCTTCAGCGCAAAAAATGCAAAACTCTTAGCATGTTTAACCCAAATTTTCTAAAAAAAAAAATACAAAAAAAAAAAATACAAAAAAAAATTTAAAAAAGAAAATTACAAAAAAAATACAAAAAAACCCATTTGTATGCAGGTGATTAATTCCAATATCTTGGAGGTAAGTGGAGCGGCTGCTCCTGGTACAACTTCTGCTTCTGCTGAGCTCATCACTGGACCCAGTTCAGTTTGGCTACCAACCTGCTGTGGCACCGGAGTGGATGACCGTCATTCACCTCCTACATCGTTCGAAAATCATCTTCATTGATTTATCCAGTGCATTTAGAACCATTCTTCCCACAGTTCTGAAGGACAAGCTGGAGAACATAGAAATGGACCATCACCTCACAACATAGATACTGGACTATCTGACCGACCACAGTATGTGAGAACTCGGGCTGTGTGTCGGGCAGGGTCATCTGTAGTACGGGGGCCTCACATGGAACAGTTCTGACTCCGTTCCTCTTCACCATCTACACTGCAGACCTCTCCCACAACTCCACCCAGTGCTTCCTGCAGAAGTTCTCTGACGACTCTGCAATAATCGGCTTCATCACTGATGGGAACGGACAGTGTAGTTTGCTGGGGCAGCAGCATCACTGCTGGGGACAGAACGAGCCTGAACAGGCTGATCCAAAGGAACAGCTCTGTTCTAGGATGCCATCTGGACCCAGTGGAGGTGGTCAGTGACATGATGGCTAAGCTGTCATCCCTACTGAACAACAAGATAAGATAAACTAGGTTTATCTTATCGTATCTTACTTCAGTCACTTTAATTTTAAAACTGTGTAATTTTAAAACTGTATATACTGTATATTCTGTGTATTTATTATTTCAATCTTATTGCCTGTTCTTATTGTCCTTATCTTCAACGTTATGCTGCTCTGTTGCCCCTTGGGGCAATTAACAACAACAACAAACAGCTTCTGATACATCCCCACTCAGGTGAGGGATTCCCAGCAATTCGCCGTCCCTGGTGGTCTAGTGGTTAGGATTCGGCGCTCTCACCGCCGCGGCCCGGGTCCGATTCCCGGTCAGGGAACTAATTTTTCAAACAATGTCAACTCTGCACACCTTTGAGCACATATCAAAGTCTAACTATGAACTCCTTGGCTCTTTTAACCGGATTTACGCACAAAACTGAATATCCTATTGTCAAAACCCTAGCATCATAAGACATGGACCTTATGGATACTGTCGTCCTTACTTAAACTTCAATCATAATTTCCAAGAGCAGAGTGTGGAGGACTGCATGGGAAGATCCGAGAAGACATGAGCGTCTACTCGAATGTCTACATACTGTGTATTTTTTATGATCAGTACTTGTCCATAGAAACAAATAAATGTTATTATTAGAGCATGTTTCTACCAGCAATTCCTTACATTTTTGATCTTTTAACCATGTACACTCTCAGAACAGCATTCAGGTCAGATGACCAGATGCGTCTGGTCGCACAGAGTAGCAGATTAAAGCACTGATGAGATCTTATCTCTGCTGTACCTGCACCTAAACTTTGGAACAAACGAGAAGCTCATAGTCAGGCTCATATTCAACACATGTTCAAAACATGTTCACTCTCAGCCTCCATCTGACGATAGCAACATTATATGCAGGATTCTGAAGGCGCAGAAATGGATGCCCACAGTCCCTGGTGGTCTAGTGGTTAGGATTCGGCGCTCTCACCGCCGCGGCCCGGGTTCGATTCCCGGCCAGGGAACTAATTTTTAAAATGTAAGGTCCATGAAAGTTCTGTTCATTCCTACCCTGCATCAACCCTCCTGCTAAAACCCCAGCCTATTGCACTAACCAGATGTTAATTTCCAGAAATGTCTCTCTGTCATAGCTTTGAAAATATACTCGTATTGTGTCTAATTACAGTTTTTTAATAAATTTGTCGTTATTAGAAAACCCGTTGTTATGCGTTCATGTGTATCACTGTCTAATAGTGCGCCTCTTCCCTGCTCTGGCCTTTCTTTAATCTTCGCTGCTGCATGCTCGGTCTTGTTGCTCACTGACGTACTGCAGCAGGCTGATTCACTCAACATGATGTCATTCCATATGTCCTCCCTTCTGTCCGGTGTTTACCTGCGTCAAGATGCGCAACGACAGCGGAGCTTAAACTACTTCAACTTTCACAATAAAGGTTTTCTTACAAAATCAAGGCTAAATATTTCTATTTGCCTGATAAGATCTGAACTTAAACTTAATACAGTGCTGCCACATAGTGTGAAATGATTCTTATTAGTTTTTTTATGGTTGGTTGATATTGTAAACAAAAAAAAGATTGCTAAAGAAAAACAACTGTGAAGCCAAACGAGAGCCTAGCTATGGTTATGTGGGGCCTTAAATAGAATTTGACATCACCCAAGCTGACCACATCTTGACTGAATTGAAGGTTTGTTTGATGATTCTGTTGATCTTATATTACTGATAAGTATTTATGGAAACATTACTTCAAGTTTCTCTTTTTTCTTTTTAGCCCCAGAGGGATAAATCCTTTTGGTATAGAATAGAATAAAATAGATCTTTATAGTCACTGTTACAAGAAAAATGAAACATAGTTTGGCATTCTCTGTTGGCACCATGTAGATTTACATTCAGATTGTTTTAGCATAGGAGAAGAAGATAAAAATAGACATAAGCTTAATGGCACCTTCTCAGGGAATGTGTGTAACACACAAAAACGTTAGTATCTACACAGTAACACACACACACACACACACACACACACACACACACACACACACATAAATAAATAAATAAAATAAAATAAAAAATCTACTTGCAAGTACAGTGTGCATGAATGTGATTTCAGGTCTGACAGTGAAAATTATAACATCAGTAGCATTAAGTTGTCGGTCTATTAACACACTTATGATTAATATTTTGAAAATACTATAATATAATATAATAATATGCTGACAAAAATACAGGCGCTGGAGGTGGCGAAATTGAAGATGTTAACACGTTAATTGGGCGTGACCAGGATGGACAAGATTATAAATGAGTACATCAGAGGGAGAGTTTGAATTGAGTGGTTTGGAGACTGCATTGATTGGCGCTGAAGGTTAATACTTTTACTTTTGAAGGGCACCGGAAGCTATGTGTTCCGCCGCAGTTAGCCTGATGTTTCTCAGTCGGGGAGTTCACACACAACTACTTGGCAGAGGAATGCAGCACTCGTAGCCAGCCGTACTGTAAGTATCTGTAGTAGAAATCCCTTCACTTTTATGTGACTAAATATATGCGTTGTTGTCAGTATTTGAGTTACTATGAATCCTTTTCTTTGTCTTTATTAAGCGCTGTGTTTCTACGGGACGCTAATGTTAGCTTCACAGCTAAGCTAGCTGGTTTCTGTCGTCGGGATTCCCTTTATTTCTTTCCTTAAATTCTTTAAACGGTCTTCAGATTCTAATAAGTTAACACGACTATCCCGTTTCACGAGTTTTCCTTTGTGTTTGCTTTAAATAGGTCTTCCTTTGTGCCGTTTTTCTTTTATGATGGAAAAGTGCAATATAAACATCGCAATTTAGCATCTTTTTAAAGTCATTATCTGTGTATTGTCAGTTAAACATTGATTCATTTGGTTCGTAGTTTGTTATCTAGCCAGTGAAAGGTAACATAGTTGGTTGTGTAGTCCCTTTAATTGAGTCGGAGAGCTGATCCCGGGAAGGACATGATGTAGTAGGACTGGTATGCAGAGGTCTGACATCAGCTAAAAAGTCTCCAAAGCAGTGTTGACTCCAAATAAGGAGGGAAGAAGCCCTAAAGTGCTAACACTGTCTTATCACTTCCTCCATACTCTGTGGTGTCTGTGGCCTCTGTGTCACATATCCACGTTTAAGTTATTTTTTTTATTTTTGACTGCAGGAAATCTGAAGGCGTTACTCCCATCATCATCATCATAAGAGTCAGCACACCATGGCTGGCTTCAGGCAAGAGGATGTTGAGTTATACTACGAGATGGGAGAGGAGCTGGGGAGGTAAGCTTTGTGGGCCTGTTTTAAAACGTTTAATTGAAAGCATTATATGTGAAAACCCTGCTTTCTTTTTCATTGCTGTCCTATCCAGCTGTTGTGCTGTGTGCTTCAGTTCATCTGAAAGTGTAAGAACACTTTTTGCAGTAGTGCTTTGATGGCAAAGTTTGGTTAATTTGTAAGACACATTTTTAAATTCCTCTTTTTAAGATGTGTAAGCGATGATTTTTCAGCTTATCAATGCTTTCCATAAATAAAAACAGATCTAAATGTGAAATGCGGCTTGAGATGGATTTTAATGCCAGGTTGGGACTGATCTGAACAGGGCTAGATATTTGATATGTGTGAGCAGCACTGTATTAAATGTCATCTTTAATTCTTTTCTGCTGTGCTGGATAGTTTGTGAATGAGTCATCACATTTTTGAAAATGAAACACAACTTTCTGGCATACCTTTTCTTTCTGCAGTAATGCAGCAAAAGTGTGACGTCACTGCCTCTCAATGTGCCTTTGCACCTCTGCTGTAGTGTAAGAGAGGGGATGGACTGTGTGTGTGTGTGTGTGTGTGTGTGCAGATACTAAATGGATCTAAAGCACACTGTTTTATTTATAAGTCTGTTTTATTCTATGTGGAATAAAACAGAATTTTCTTGTTTTTAGTTGTGTTAATGATTGTTTTGTTGTGCTGATAACACA